AATTTTGACCATATATGCTGTTTTTATTGCTTGTAATTGGGATGAAGTAAACATCTGTTGAGTATTTTAACATATCATTTTTGATTGTGTTGAATTAAAAACCCAAAACTGCCGCGGGTCCACCAGACCCACGAACACTGGCTGAGTAACAAAAATATGAACACCACACAAGGGTTAAAGTGAGCACTTTGAAGGGTGCATGGTAATGTAGTCTGATAAGTGCACATTTAGTTTAACATACACTGCCATTCACAAGTTTGGGATCAGTAAGATTATTAATGTTTTTTAAAGATGTTTTTTATGCTCATCAAGGCTGCATTTATTTGATCCAAAATACAGAAAAAAGCAGTAATATTGTGAAATATTATTACAATTCAAAATAACTGTTTTCTATTTGAATATATGTTAAAATTTAATTTTTCAGCTTCATTACTCCAGTCTTCAGTGTTACATGATCCTTCAGAAACCATTCTAATATGCTGATTTATTATCAATGCTGCTTAATGTTTTTGGAACCTGTGATACATGTTTCAGAATTCTTTGATGAATAAAAAGTTAAAAAGAACAGCATTTATTCAAAATAGAAATCTTTTCTAACAATATAAGTCTTTACTATTACTTTTAATCAATTTAACACATCCTTGCTGAATAAATGTATTAATTCCTTTCAAAAAAACTCCAAACTTTTGAACGGTAGTGTATATTGTTACAAAAGACTTCTATTTGCAGAAGATTTCTACTTATGAACAGCAGTGTATATCAATGCAGCTTTGTTTTTAACATATACCACCTCTAAAAACTTAAAACATAAAAACAACAATAAAAACCTTGTTTCTCACACATACTCAAGTCACCCAAAATGTTTTGCTATAATTTACCATATATTATTTGCTTTTGACTGTGAAACACAGAATGAAATGATTGCCAGTGTTGTTTTCCATACAAGAAAAGCATGCAATGGGCATTTGAGCTCAAAAAAGTACTATAAAACTAGTCCAAATGTGCATTATAATAAGTTTTCTCATAATTCACCGATATCCTTTCCTCTTTTGTAGCTCTCAAATATCACAGAGCATGTTCAATATGGTGCATGGAGGCATTTGGTAGGTTTAATGTCAGTTATAACAATGTGCATTGGTTCTCGCATGTCACAAGAACGCAAATGAGATTAGGAGTTTAAATTAGGAGTTAAGAGCTGAAGCATAGAGCAAAAGTCATACATTTCTGACCCTTTTTATGTGAATATAGACAACTTTTATAGTGCAGTTCTGTCCTTTTAGGAGCTCGACAGCAGATTCTGATATAGGTTTGGAACGACATGACGGTGAGAAAACGATGACAGATTTTTCATTTTTAGTTGAACGAACCCTTTAAGAGCACAGAAAGACACATCGCGAATACCCGGCGAGATTGCTTTTAGGGGAGCTGTTGTCACGGTAACGGAGAGGGTTCGCTCTTGCACAGACTAATGCAGACTAAAGAGGGTTCGGCATGCAGTAAAAAACATCACCTGCTCCTCAGAGGCAAAAACACACTCATACCTCCATCTCTAGACTTTCTGCAACTAAACCTGTGCAAATGTGTTTCCAGGCAGTAGCAGAAACAAATCCCAGTTGCAACAGAGACACAAAAGATGAGACAATGCGACAGAGTCACAACAACAGACCTAAAGCTTGTGCTACTTGAAAAGATGAACACTGTGCTGTTTACTAAGCAAGCATTACAGTTACTATTGCTCATACCAAGGCTTAATGATCTGAACAAACCCCTATCAGCAACATTTGTGCAAAAAATGTAGTTAAAATTCTGCTAACTCAAGTCAAATGGGAGTTTTAAAGGGATAGTTCACTCAAAAATGAAAATTCTGTCATTGTTTACTCACCCTCATGTTGTTCCAAAGCTGTATGATTTTCTTTACTGTACTGAACACAAAAGAAGATATTCTGAAGAATGTTGAAAAACAAAAAGTTGACGGTAGCCATTGACTTCCATAGTATTTTTTTTTCCATACTATCAAAGTCAATGGCTACCGTCAACTGTTTGGTTACCAACATCCTTCAGAACATCTTATTTTGTGTTCAACAGCCAAAAGAAGCTCATACAGGTATGGAATGACATGAGGGTGAGTAAATTATGACAATTTTGATTTTGGGGTTTTTAAGGTTTAAAGAGATTTTAAGACATTTTATCTTCTCTGCTGCTGTATTTCTCCTCCACTAAACCAACACTAGTCCCGCCAAATCACAAATTAGGACTTCCCTAAGAAAAAAAAAACACAGGCTCACATGCCACTAAAGAACATTTCTGTTGATGTTCAGGCCTTGGAAGGACACTGGCAGGAAGTGGCGTTCAAACTGGGAGACAAAGTATGTACTCTCTGAAGACTTGCCTTTTTCCGTTCAGGTCCGGGCCAAAAACAAGCGTCTAAGAACCCTGTTTGTCTGTCTGCTCACCGACTACAATGTCCTTTTTGGGCTGTGCCAGTTGGGATGCCAGCAGCCTTTATTGTGATTGGTCTACCGCTGCTGCCCAGTGTGACCAAATCCAATCAGCAATCAGCTGGTTACAATGCAAAATGAGCCAGTTACTGCAGTGTTTAGCCAAAGTTTGTGGTCACTGGCACCAACCTGCATATTTAAACCCTATGAGTTGGGTGCAAAACTTGTGTTTTATCAAAACAACACACTAAACAAACCAAACAAACAAACAAACAAACAAACTGTGATTATAATACTGTCAGCAGACTCATTTTAACAAAATGACAAGATCTCACTTGTTTCTCCTTGTTTGCTAAAGCTGCCTGCTACTGAGAAAAAAATGATTTGTCTCCTGAGCTTCAAAAAAAAAAAAAAGATCTCAGCAATGTCTCAGGTGAACGTGATTTCACCAAGTACAACATGTTCCTGGATCAACATCCTTGTTGATCCTGGAACAACATTTCAATCAACCAATCAGAATTGAGGGATAACTTTTCAGGAAATCTCAGTTTTAGGCTTACGATCAGGGTTAGGTGCTTCTACACCCTTACTAACCAGCTATCATTTCCCACTGAATTTAGGAATAAATTATGGGTAGGATTAGGTTTAGGGGTAGGTTTTGGGTTAAGTCTATATTTTTGGACAGTAATGTTGATCCAGGATCAACAAAAGATGTTGATCAAGGAACAGGTCTTACTTGGCAAAATCACGCTCAATATATGAAGTTTGGTTCCAAAACGCGATAGACGTCATTTAAAAAAAAATCACATGAAAAATAACTTTTATATTGATTCAATGGATTTATTGCATTTTGGAAAGAAAAAAAATGTGTTATGGATTTATTGCATTTTGGGGAAACAATAATACAATTTTATAATAAATCTTTGAAAATCAATATCTGGATTTGAATTTTTTATGTTATTATAACCTAAAGATGCTATGTGAAAGTTTGAAACAGAAAATAGTGGTTTTCATCTTGCCACTTTCTTGGTAAAGAAAACACATTTTTACTCAAATTAATCAAAATGGATTTATAGCGTTTTGGAACCAAACTCTTCATATATACAACAACATGTGAAGCATTATAAAATATGAATGAGAGACTAACAATTAAAAATCTCTATTTCATATACTCCACCTCTTCAAAATGCATCAGTTTCTGTGTGTACCTACTTCAAGACCTCTGGGTATTTAAAACCCCGGTATGCATCTCTGCACCCCTCTAATTTTAATGGTGCACTTGAATTTCACCCCCTCTCTGTGACCTCATTTCAGGCCAGACCCGAATAATAACATTTTATAATAAATCTTTGAAAATCAATATCTGGATTTGAATTTTTTATGTTATTATAACCTAAAGATGCTATGTGAAAGTTTGAAACAGAAAATAGTGGTTTTCATCTTGCCACTTTCTTGGTAAAGAAAACACATTTTTACTCAAATTAATCAAAATGGATTTATAGCGTTTTGGAACCAAACTCTTCATATGTACTCGCCAAATTCTCTGGAGACCATATGATCTGAGCTGCTATTCATATTCATTTTATAGCTCTATACTCTTTTTGGATGTCAACTATTAACTTGTGTGTCTGTTAAGTCGTGTCTATGATTATTTCTCCTATGGAACTTAAATTGGGAGAAATACCCATAAAAGTTAATCATTAAAGAAAACAACTCAGAGCCATTAAGCCTCCTTTTGAGAATTAAAACTGCGTTGATGAATGAAATGACAGTGACTTTAGTCTATGTTGCAGCATGCCTTGTGAGATGATCCAGGTTTTGGGAATTTGGCGTCTTTTGCATGATGCCTTTGGGCGAAAAGGTCTGGATGAATGATGATTTAACCAGCTCAAAGATAAATAATGATAATGTGATTAAAGCAGTGCTCAAATTATAAACCCTCTTGTCTGGAAAGCACACTGATTCATTGACAAAACATGATTTACACCTGTTTTCCCACACCCTAATGATACTTTAATGAGTCCAACACAAAGGCTGCTCTGTGCTGGCTCCAGTAAATGGGGCTTGAGTAGTGCTGTCAAATAATTAATCGCGATTAATCGCATACAAAATAAAAGTTTTTGTTTACATAATATATGTGTGTGTACTGTGTATATTAATTACATATATATAAATAGACACACATGCATGTATATATGTAAGAAAAATTTTGTTTATATATTAATATTTTCTAAATATATACTGTGTGTTTGTGTGTGTATTTATATATATATAATAAATATACACAGTACATACACATATATTAGGCCTATGTAAACAAAAACTTTTATTTTTTTATGCTATTAATTGTGATTAATCGTTTGACAGCACTAGGTTTGAGCGTGTCAAGGTGTGAATATGACTTTCCACCAAACAATTCTGGAAAAGTTCATTCAAAACCAAGTTTTATGTATACGCAAAAGGCACAAAGGAAAAATAAAATGGAATGTTCTTATCTGTCCAGAACTTTAATGTGCACTAAACTAATTAGAAGTGAATTAAGACCCTGCATGATCTACTCACCAAAATATTCCTTTTTCGTGTGCATCTCGAGCTCCCTCTCCAGCTCCAGGGTGAGGGCCTCCAGGCGCCGCTCCGCCGGACTGGGGCCGCTGTCCCGGGATGGAGTGACCTGGCACGGCAGCTTTAAGCGCTGCCCCCCGGTGCCCATCTTCCCGTAGTTAAACACGATGTTGACGTCTGAATTCTGCTGCTGCGGCTCGGGAAACGCTTGGAGGTGGACGCGGTTGTTGTGGAGGCCGTTTGGCTCCGTGAAGTCCTGCAGCAGCGCGTCCTCCGGCAAACCGGGTCCCAGCATGGAGTGCTGGAGCTCGGGATACGCGCTCATGGAGCTCCGCGAACTCCTGGAGCTGTGGCTGGAGATGCTCGAGCGGGGACTGACCACGCAGTTTGCCGCCACGGCGAGTCGCGCAACCCCGCCGCCGTCCTGGCTGCAGATGCTGGATCGGGGGCTGGTCATGGGGATGCCGTGCACCGCGCCGCTCTCCGGTTCGTGGTTCCCCGCGGGCGAGTAGCTGGAGCGCGGGCTTGTGGTGCTCGATCTGGGGCTGATGTGCCGCTGGTCGTAGCCCATGCTGATGCCGCTGGTTCGGTTACTGCTAGGTTTGCTCCCGCAGTCGTAGCTGTTGAGGCTGGTTCTGGGGCTGGAGTGTTTGCTGGTGTCGCTGGCCGTGCTGGCGTAACTCGAGCGGGGGCTGATCACGCCGTTCCCCTCGCAGTACTTCTCCTGTCCCGGTGACACCAGGCTGGACCGCGGGCTGCTGATGCTCGACCTCGGGCTGGTGTGTTTGCTCTGGTCTTGCGACGAGTGAGACGAAGCTAAACTGGACCGGGGGCTCGTGGCCATGCATAAGCTGTTGCTCCTCACCTGCTTCCCCAGAATGAGCGCATCGTAGGCGCATCCAGCGCTGTACCGGTGCGCCTGCACCTCCGCCTGCGTGTATCTCCTGAGACGATCCGACGCGCCGCTGTAACACGGCAAGGCAACTTCAGATTTGGTGCAGTGCGCGTCGGGATCGGGATAGACCGCGTCCCTTTGCGGAGAACAGAAATCCAGAGGCACTGAGGGTCGGTTACCGTTGACGGAGCGCAGGGGAGCCGCGCCGTAGACTTTGTTCCCGTGCGCGGAGGAGCTGCCATTCATTCGTTTAGTTTTCTCCATATCGGGGTTCGGTTCCCCGTACATCCCGTCTTGATAAACGTCAAATATAGAGAGGTTTTCCATCAGTTTGCTCGCCGGATCCTCGTCATATCCATCCATGTCGTCTCTGAGGCGAGTTGAACGGGGGAGCGCGCGGAGCACTAGTCAACTACAACACAAACTGCATTTTACGCGGAAAAACGCCGCCTCAGGCGAACCATCGTTGCCTGTTCGCGATTACTTAGTCCTTCACAGTCATTTCGTCACGATACGTGATCCCCGCCTGTCGATTTGTGGCGATACGGTCGTCGTGACAAAGTTTCCACTCAAGAGAACGTTTGTCAATTTCAGGTTTTTGTAAAGTTGAAAGGTCTTTACAGTCAATGGCGCGCTGCGCGGAGGAATTTTCTCGCTTTGATTTTCCGTGATTGTTCCTGCGAACTCGTTTCCAGCAATTCCAGCTCTCCTAAAATTCCCCCCCGAGAATTTCGCAATAAACAGGAGAGATGTTGAACGCGTAGACGGACGAGTATGCGTGTATCAAACGATTCATTCGAGACTCGTTTGTGTGAGAGGAATGCGCGGAGGGAGACGGGCTGCGCTGCGGCGCTCTGGAATGTGGTTAATGCCGGAGCGAAACAATGATAGAGAGCAACTCAGCAAGGGGGAGCAGAATCCTGAAAAAAGTCCTTTGGAGAGCCTACGTGTGTCCACTTTCATCCAGAGGGACAGATTAGAGATTTAACCACATAGACCAGCTCACAGAAAATAATTAAAAACTACACAGAACATCTCTAAAAAACTTTAAACAACAAGCAACCCTTTATGCAACTGAATTGTTTGTATTCTTGGGAGAGTAAAATGAGTATTAAAGAAATACTCTTGTTCAAGTCTCTATATACTGTTTGTAAAATCTACCTGGCTTGTGTTTCCCAGGTAACTCGTGCTCTGAAAACAACAGTACTAGCATGCATATACAGCAGGCCAGTGAAGGTTTGTTGAATCTGGGGGAAGGGCAGATCCCAAACATCTCATTGTGCATCAGTGACAAAGGCTATTGTCACTAACTTATATTTCCGTCACCATACAGTGGCTGCCACAAGTATTTTATTTTTTTTGACACTTGAGCCACATTTAAAATATCAGGTAGCACAATATCAAAGCAAGAAAGATTTATTGTAAGTATAGCTCAAGTTTTGAAGTGAAACATTTTTTTAACTTCTAAAACAATAGTTGTAAATGAAGACAGTACTGTATGACTGTGTGTTTGTAAAACATTTTGATAAATCATATGGTGAGCTACGCCTGAGGAATGGATTAACTTGTTTTGATATTTTGTCTATACAATATAATTCATACCCTGTGCATAATTTAAAAAAATGTATTTTTATATATATCATATATTCACACACTCTAAACTGAAAATCTGGGATAGATATTCACGTACAGCTGAAAATAAACAGAAAGTTTCAGGATTTTGGTGTTTCAGGATAGCTCAAACAGTCTAACATGACACTAGCAATGCCAAGGCCATGGGTTCAATTCCCAGAAAACATGAATTGATCAAATGTATGCAGTGTATTAATTATAAAAATGCATGAATGCAAAGGCATAGCATAAAAAGAATAAAAAATTCAGTGCACTGTTATCATGCTGGAGAACATGATCATCAAGTTTTGTTCAGTGCTGCTGTCAGTTAAGCAAACTAACACACACACACACACACACACAAAAGACATTTTGAAATTCCTGTCATTTTTTCAACTACATTTTGCATTAAATTGTTATACTGATAATAAGTTGTACTGAAAAAAACAAACATAACACATACAGCAAATACAGTCTTTCTGGCAACCATTCTTTTTAACCAAAAATACATCATTTTATTCTTTTAAAGATGCATTTTAATATTGTTAATATTGTTTAAAATCCACAAAAATATGTTTACCCCGAACTCTCTAAGGACACTGCCCTTCCAAAAGTGGAAATAAAATAAAACATTTATCAGGGTTTAGCTTATTTGTCTCTTTACAGCATTTCACAACAATACATCCCTCGTGTACATTAATATGAACATACATGTTTTAAAAATTAACAAATCAGGTCAGTATAAACCTCACATAAGGCACAGAACTGAAATGAAATCCACACATTTCACTGTCCCACAACCGGAAGGCAGGAGAGCGCCACTGCTGCAAATGCGACCACCAAAACAACATCTAAAATTAGTTTCTTAATTGATGACTGGCTGTGTTTCTTCCCATGACCTCTGCCTCGAAACCATTGCACAACATCTTCCAGGTCATACAGTTTAGGCTCGTATCCCAGCTCTTCTCGTGCCTTACGCATACTGAAATAGTGTGTGACGCCCGTCTTGTAGACCTCAGTACGGGTCAGCAGGGGTTGGAAGTTATAAATCCGCCCCACGACGTGGTGAAGCATCTCGGTCAGAAACGCAAAGAGGTAAATGAGCGATATGGGCAGGCGAAGCGTGGGGAACGAGTATCCCAGACCCTCCACCAGAGGCCTGAAAAACTCAAAGTTGTTAACAGGCCTTCCGTCGGAGATAAAATAGGGCTGACCGGCGGCACGATGCTGACGCTTTTCAGTTAACGCCTCGGCAGCTAACATGTGTGCGGACACTAGATTATCCACATGAACAAACTCCACCAGACTATCAGGATCCCCGTACACAAACCTAAAGATGCCATTCTCAATGTAACTAACTATTCTAGGCAAGTGCCTTTCCTCACCAGGGCCGTATATACCGGCTGGACGCAGGGCGCAAGTCTGTAGGACACCTGCGCTATTATTCAGAGGCGAACCGTTCGCTTTTAACACCTGCATCTCAGCTATAGACTTAGTCCTGGAGTAGTGATCAGGGTGCAGGTGCAAGGGCAAGGAAGGGAGACTTTCATCACCATCCTTAATCTCCTGACCTCCAAACACTACGTTATACGTGCTCGTGTAGACCAAACGAGGAACTCCGTGTGCCACGCAAGCCCTAAGGATGTTCTCTGTTCCCTGTACGTTCACTTCTTCGATGAGTTTTCGATCGAGCTGCTCCCGTCCCGACATCCCATACGAGGCGATGTGGAACACGCAGTTCACGCCCCGAACCGCTTTTTCCACCTGAGTGTAGTCACGGATATCTGCCCGCATGAATGCTATACCCTCCGGCAACTCTTGGCTCGGTGGCCTCACGTCAAACAGCACAACGTTTGAGGAGGTTTTGAGGAGAGCACAGGCAAGACTGAAAGAGAAATCGCATTTACAAAGAGAACAATCAAGCTTTAATGGAAAATGATTTACTTACCCGCATGCCATCCAAGATATATATGAGTTTGTTTCTTCATCAGATTTGGAGAAATTAAGCATTCCATCAATTGCTTACCAATGGATCCTCTGCAGTGAATGGGTGCCGTCACAAGTAATCCAGATGACTTGATGTGAGAGATGACAGGAGATGGACTTTTTCATTGGAGGAAGTGTTATTTTGGATTATGGACGGAGTCATATTTTGGCTGAATCTTACCGGAATCCGAAATAACCTCCTCCACCGGTTATGAGGAAGGTTCTGCCTGTTCTGTTGACTTCCATTGTGTTAAAGAAGCAGGGAGAGTGGAATCTGCAAAAATTAGGATATGCTTCATGATGATGTTTAACGTTCATGCATATTCTGGATATAAATGAGCTGGCAGTCAAAATCATAACAGTGCAGAACATATTGTGCAGAACAGAATTCTCTCTCGAGCAGTGCATCATCAACGCGGCCATATAACACACACACACACGACTTCTCCAAGATCTAACACATCTGTATGAGACTTTAGTCTTTGCAACTTCAGGGATCTTATCTATGCACAATCAGCTTGTAACACTCCAAAGAGAAAGGAAATCACATCATATGACCCCTTTAACCATTCTCACATCTCCAGGGAGTTTAATTCTTGTTGTTTGTGTTGCTTATTGAATGTTTTTGCTTTCCTTCAGGATGAATCCAGAATCTTAAGGGTGAAAGTCATTGCTGGAATTGGGTTGGCTAAGAAAGACATTTTGGGTGCCAGGTCGGTATATCAGATATTGTACCATGAAAATGACACTATCACATAAATGATGACCAAAATAATGTCCAGGTGGATTAAATGGCAAACACTTGAGCATTTGAGACTGTCGGCATTTGACGATAATGCTGCCTGGTTCCTAATATACAAACTGGCTTTTCAAAACATAAATATTGGGTAAAATGTTCTTGTTTATTATTAGCAATCTTGTGTATTATTTGCCATTATATTATATGTAAATCAGCATTATATTGCTTTTTAAATATCAGCCGTTGAAAAATCGATTGACGACTAATTATAATCATTGCTTGAATGAGAGGATGTGTTTTCTTTAAAAGCTCAGCTCACTTCTTGTATAGTACACAGGGTTTTTTCCCATGATTTCATGCAACACTCACTTGAGTGTCACATTTTGGGTGGATCAGTATAAAGTCAGTTAGTGTACAGGACATTAAGTGTTTGAGTGGTTTGCATAGGTTTGCTTTGTGTGCCCGCTCCGCCAGCATCACGTTCAAGTGCCATCAGTTTGTTATGAAAACATGAAATCGTTTGTATCCCGCATAATGGAGCTTCCGTTTAGACAATCTGACACTCTTGCAGGCTTCTATCTCTTCCTAGACATGTTGTAAAAAATTATAATAGATTATAAGACATTGAATTTCAGCCTTCCTGTGGATTCTTGAGCTTCATCGTGATGTTTATTACTCATCCGTTTTAGCTGAATCTTCTTTGAAAAATAACAACAAGGGACGAATACCACTAATGAAGTCAGCAAATTGACTCTGTTTACTTTCTTAATACGCAATTCTGGTCTTATTGTGCATGTTTGTTCAGCTCATGCTTCATTCTGCTATGGAAAGCCCACTTTCATCATCAGTCTGTTCCCAATGGGGAAAATCATGTCCCCCGCCCTACATTTTTTCTCGTTGAGTATCCTGTTTCACATTACAGAAGTAAAATAGGTTGCAGTTGTTTTTTTTTTATTTTTTAGATTTTTAACGATTTAGCTTAGCAGTCATTTAGTAGATCTAGGTTTGCTTTGCTTTGTAATTGCGTTGCAGTTTTACATGCTAAGAATTCGAATTATGCATAGCTTGCAGTGAACTGTAGGCCGATGGAAATGTCCCGGTTGCTGCCCGATTCACATTGGTCAGGGAGGTACAGTAGATGGCAGTGTTAGCAGATGTCCCGGCCGTCCTTGAGGGTAAGATAATGTAAAAATCATTTTTTTTTAGTGAAGTACATCACTGAGTAGGAGAGCTGTGTATATAGAAGAGTTTATGTCCTGTGACGTTCCTGCTGAGTGTTTATCTCGGCTCTCTCGACAGTGTTTATACTAACCTGAGAATTACAGTCTAGCTCCGCAGAGCCGTCACATCTCTTACCACCACATTTCTTTATAGGGGAAAAGTGAGCCTGTCC